GCTCCACGCAATGTCCCAATTCAATATTAAGTGTCGCTTATGAACACACAATTGTGATCCAGGACAAGCTTGCCTTCGGCTGCCGAGATTAAACGTAAAAACGTACTCCTCTATATTCTGTGGTGTTACGCATGAAATGATTTTATTCCCGTCCGAAACATAATTATAATGCATACCGAGGAATAAAAAATGGTCACTTAAAAACTTTAGAAAAGATTTTCTTTAATGGAATCGTGTGTCATGGCCTCTTTTTTAGATGCCAAAAATTGTCAGGTGATAGGTAGGGGTAATTCTGGGATAATTGCAGACATTCATTTTTGGGCCACGAGATCGTTATGTACGTGGTCCACAATATTAGTTGTGTTTGATCACAAGATTTGTTCGGGTCTCAATTAGTAGAGGAAGTAGTTATAATCCGAAAGACAGATTTTTCTGATAGATTCGTTTAATTTGTGACGACCGCGCAGCCACGGTGTGGTTCAGATTAGTAGTTTCTGCATAACGATTCAAGCAAAAAAATAAGTTTGTTCGCGCTTTCTCGGGGTGAAAGTTGTGATCTTTCCGACATCATAGAATAACTTGAGATTGCGGATATTTTTAACTACGCTCAAGAAAAAGATTAGTATATAAAAGGAAGACAATAAAAATATTTAAACAGTTGGGTATGCGGTTTTCTGTCGCGTAAATTTGCAACTGTATTTACTTGAGGACAAATCGCTTAAATTTGCCCTGTCGTATTTGTTCGCTACAAAGGGGCTTGCGGTTAATGCTCAGTTAGTCCGACACGAACGCTACAAAAACTGCAAAGACTTTGCTAGTTAGGATTAGTACAGAAAAATAAACTGATTTTCAATACATGTATTGGCAAAAAAACATTGTTGTAGCAAGTTATCTTGCTTGCATAAAATCAGGCGTCGTTCAGAAGTGATTTTGTCATTTAAAAGTAGACATATGGAAAAATAATACCCGCAAATGCCTATGTCTACGTCTTCATGAATATCACTGTATAACAATGATGTTTTACTACAAACCTTTTTGCTAAAAATCAATCATAAATAAATAGATGACTATTGAATAATTATCACTTTTTCGGGGCTTATATATATTTTCTCTAGAATAACTTTTTTCAGCCACTGGACATAGTTCATGTGCAGGATTTACAGGAGGTGGAAATTATGTAATAATTTTCAGAAGAAAAGCAAGAACTGTGTAGTAGATTGCCAAAAAATCAAAAAGTGACAACGGGGTATTCATGACAAGAAAAAGTAGAAAGTATGAATAATTCCTGAAAAAAGTAGCAGGAAGCATAAAACGAGAAGAACCGTAGTGTATGTTATGCGTAGGTTTACGATTTCATACGTCTGATCCGTATTTGGATACTAATAAATCAATGTAAGGTATCCCAATATAGTATCATATAGGGCCTTGTACGCGCCCCTACGCAAATTATTAGATAGGAAATTCAATCTTTTATGCAAATCAACAATCTCGTTACCCTAAAGTAAGTTACTTATTCCTTTTGCTTCGTTGGAATGGAAATTTATATTCAAGGGTTTTGGCAGAAAACACTTGTTAGGTACACGGTGATTTCTTTGATCCCCCAATTGTAATAAAAGTTTTATTTAGCAGAAAGAATTTTGACATGAAAGAAAAGCTTCTCCCTAATATCAATACCGCCATTAAAAGTAGGGCAAATAAATGCTCCGTTATTTTTGTTGTACCTGACTTTCCTTACACTTTTCGCTAAAACAGCCGACGCTAATCCGACGTTGTTGTATTTCGTTATAATACGAACTTCCATTTTATAAGCTATTTAATACGATCGAGTTGGAACAATGCCCAAATTGCGTTTCTATAGGTTTATAATTATTCATCGCTTAAAAACGGTTTGCAAAAGTGATTAAAATTTATACCTAATTTTAAGCTGCGGGATAAAGTTGTGCTCGGTAGTACATCCATCCCTAAATTGGTGCTTGGTTTTGCAAATGTGACCATTAAAGTTTAGAAGCTAACTTGATCCTCCATCAAAGTGACAAAAATATTATCAGCTTATGGAAATTTCTCTACATGAAATAAGTTACCCAAAGTGAATTTTAAAGCTCGATTTATCATTCAAAAAGGAGTTTGTGTCTTCAGAAGGTTTTGTGGTGCGCGTTACGGATTCTGTTAATCAGCTTGATTTGAAAGAATGAAAAAAAATCCGGAATTTCAACTTTGGTACAAATAAACAACGAGATATTCTACCACAGAATATCGTCTCAGGATATTCCTTCTCTATGAGCACCGGAATATTTACGTTTAAAAATCTCGAACCGAAAAATTAGGCTTTAAAATATTTGTGTCCAAGGAAAAATTAGTGGAAATTGAGACTTACTCTTAGAATAACTGCTACATATTTAATTAATAGTTATCTTCTATTCCTTACACATTCAGGATAGGATATGCAAGTGTTTTCCTGGAGGGGAATTTCGCTTTCTACGTTCTTCTTGAAGGCGCAATTTTGTGAAAATCTACCTTTACATAAGAAACACTCTTGGACACTTCATTAAACAAAGATCGGCCTCAAGTAAATTTATAAAAAATTGATATTTAATCTTAGAATAGATTGTAATGTACTCATTGGAAATTTCCGTCTGGCAGAAATTTTCCTTGAGAACGATTTTTAGGGGAAAAAGACGAGCCTTAAATTTAACTGGAGGCGGGGTTTATTGTGAGCTAATATTGCGAAGACGAATCTGCGAAAACAGCTGGGTGAATTTACCATGCATGATTAATTTTTAATGTATTCACAAACAGAAAGAAATTGAAATTGCAAAGTAACTTATTGAATTCATGGTGTTCGGTCTCTTAAATTCGTATCCGGAATAACTATTCCTAACATTCACTCTCGATGTAAAATGTCCCTAGGAATGTAGAAATATGAAATATTAAAAAAATTGGGGCCACGTGTCACCCTTACAGGAATAGTTGAGCAAGCTATACTAAGGAATAAACTTTATTAAATCAGGCTACAGGAATGTACTAATTTCTTGGAAAGGGTAAGGTGAGTGGATCTCAATTTGGAAAATCGCAGATATAATAATATCATAACGTAGTGTTGTAGCATTTTCCCACATTTTATTGTAAAAACTACCAAATGTAATCTAAGATGTTAATTAAATATTTGCCACTAGTTCCAAATTTTGACCTGAAGACCACATTATTAAATATTAAATACGTTGTGGTGGAAATGAAGCTCGTCTTTTGATTTCTGTAGCGCATTGTTCCCTTAATGGGTTTCGGAAACCTCGAAAAGGAGTTAGTAGACAAAAAATTCTTGGGACATATGGTTCTCAATCACGATAATTAATTCGGGAAAAGTTCCAGGCAAGTCGTGAGAAAGTTGTGAAAATAAATCAACTTGTGCAAGTTTGATAAAATCAATGATTAGCCATACGAAAAAATTATTAATGCAAGAAAAAGTTATCCGACGGGAAACTCCCATTATAAATTTGCGTAAGTTAATCTCCCATATCAGGAGGGTTGTCCCCAGCTTTATTTTGGTATGAACACCGTCACCTAAAAAAAGCCACCTTATATGAGGTACTGTGTTTCCATTTATATAAACTAAAAAGTCTGAATCTTTAAGAAAACCGTCGTAAATTATATTTATATGTAAAGTGACAGCGGTGTAACGCTAAGGGGTCATTGTATTTAATCTATTTTCAATAGGATTGTTACATGTGTTTAAATGTGGGATACAGCCCAACTGTGCAAAGTTTAAACGGAATCGGTTAAAGCTCTTTCAAGTTTTTTATAATAAAAATAATTTTTATGGGATAGAGAATCCTAGAGAAAATCTCTTTCAATTAACTTAATAAAAAATGTTGGGTTACTATTTAAAAAAAAAGTTGTAAGACGTCACGGAGGCGCTAAAAACTCAGATATCAAAAAAGGTTTTTGAATTCTCTCCTTTATGTACAATTTTTGTAGGTTATACGGTCTTTAGAATAATTTAATACACATTTTGAGTTATTTAAAAAAAAGTTCGATGACGTTGCGGAGCTCCAAAATTTATTTACATTTTAACAAAATCTCGTACGTACGTATAATTGGAATCAGGAGTCTGTGGCCCTGAGTCATTGTTTTGTGATTCAATTTCAGACAAGTTTTTTTATCGATTTCGCACACTTGATAGATGTTACAGTGTTTTAGCGTGTCAGCGTATTTTTTAAAGTTGCTTAAAATGAACTAAAATGTCGACATTTGATGAAATTTTGACAGATACAAAAAACGGTGATGGCAATAGCGACCTAGCTCAAACTAGGAAGCTAAAAACTCAGATTCAGATTTAATAAATTCGGTATTTTTGCTTCAGCGAAAGGATGGTCAACCCATTTAATTACAATAAATCTATTGCAGCATGTAGGTTACATACTCAAGTTATGCATATTGTAGCAACCTCTCCAAAGTAACAGCGTTATGTAACATTTACATAGAATTTATATAACTGTGTTTGCTGGAATCTCCTATAAGACTGATATGTCGTGTATAGTAAACCAACAGGTATAATATTATTAATAATTACGGATGCAGTATCTGAAGATATGATGTTTTTGCTATTGAGACGTTGACCCTTGCAACAATTGATTTGGAGAATAAAAGGGGCTGTTCACCAAGAAGGCCAGAACTATTCCTTACACAACGTATTATCCTAGAGGGAATGCTGCAAGTGTGATGGGGGTCCTCTGTGCCGCAGGTAAAATATGGCACTGTCAGTCATTCATAAATAAACGCAACAAACGGTAAGGATAATAGAAACGTACTTCTAAAATTGGAAACGGGAAAAGTCAAGTTGACGTGAGAAATTCAATTCCAATGGTCAACGTGTCTTCTCAAGGGAAATATCTAATGGTTGCCTGAACAAAATATGTAAAATTAAGTGACAGCTTGTAGTTACTTGGAAAAAAGTGGAGTTTATTTGTTTTCTGACAGCTGACGAAGGTAAACCGAGTGTAAATAATTAAAAGGAAGTAATATTGTTAGACGACATAGCGCATCATGTAATAAATAGTACGAAACACTTACCGGCACATCGATTCCATTAAATTCCCTTTACGGTCAGTACCTGTAACAATAAAACGATATAAATTTATAAACAAAAACATATTTATAACGTTAGCATTAGATTAATAAAATTACTTATTGCAATCATTTGTATTCAAAATATTGTTCGCCGGTACGGTCAAATTAAGTTGTATTTTTGGGCTGACTGGCTAAAAAATATGACGGTTGCCTTGCACGTCTTCTCGCATGTACACTGCTCAAAATAATATACCTACAGTGCGTTGGAGATAAGAGAACCACCTCAACATCTCTTTTATTTGGGGAGAAATTTGTCAAATATAGTTTCATATGTCCGATCGCATATTGAAACATCCGGTATCATTTCCAATGTAATCGGAAATCGATTCAACTTTGGTTTTTCAAATGCAAGGCCTATGGTTTTGTAAGACATTTGAAAAGAGCAATCAATTTGCTGTACGACAACACCAAATATGCATATATAGTTGATATAGGAACAACAAAAATTGAGAAATTCGCGAAAAAGAAATTTAGCATGCCGTGTGCTGTCAGGATGCACGGTGTCTGTCTGTTCAAAACGCGACATTAAAAAAAGTGGACGTAGATCTTTTCTGTGCGATATGGCACATATAGAGCATTCTCGATGCTCTGGCGGCTGAAAACAATTGGGGATCAAACATGTGATTAGTCTGTAGAAGAGGGAATGTCTTTAAATGCCTCTCAAAAGCTGTTAAAGAGTAAGATTGGTAACAATTCTACTTACTTTACAGTACAAAGTGTTAATAATCCGTGTTGATTTAATTGCACAAATTATTTAATGTTATTGTTTCTGTCGTGTATTCTCAAAGTACCAAAGAATTCGAGTAACGCGCTTCTCTAAATTTGGAGGATATAAAATCGGATTTTTTTTTATTTATAATTAAAGAGCTTCGACTGCAAAATAGGCCATTAGCTCTTGTACGGTTAGATTTTTTCAAATAAAGATATGTTTTTGAGGAACGACATTGTATTTGAGCGTCCCTCACCAAGGGCGTCCTTTAAGTTATCTTTTATGCTATACAATTTCCTTTGATTAGTGTATTCTGTACATTCTAATATTATATGTTTGACAGTGACAATTTTTTTACAAAGTTCGCAATAAGGAGGGTCGTCCTTAGTGATAAGATGCAAATGAGTTAATCGCGTATGGCCTATTCGCAGTCGGATCCAGACTACAGATTCTCTTCGGTTTTGGAGGTAGGTTGTCTTCGATTGCCGCGAGACTTCTGGCTTAATTTCTTTTAGTTTGTTGGCAGTTGCGGACCATTCTTCTTGCCAAGCGGCTTGGAGGGCTTGTTTGTAGTGGCTCTTTAAATCACTAACGGTAGTGTCGTTGATTTCCGCTGCTTCCGGAGAGGCGGATGCTGTTATTGCTGCCCGATCTGCCTCTTCATTCCCTTTGATTCCTACATGGGATGGAATCCAGCAAAACCTTACATTTTTCTTAAAATTCTCCACTATATGCACTACATGATATGCGGTAATTTAAATTGCAGTTTTCGAATTTGTCTATTACGCGCAGTCTACGCCGTCGCTAGTTTCGAACCGTCCGTGTATATTATGTGGTAGTTTCGGAACTTTGTTGATATTAGTTCTTTGAAAGTGTTTGTAGGAAGGTATTGCTGTAGTCGTGTTTTAGGATAAGGAAGCATATCATAATTAACGTTTGGAATTCTCATTGCCCAAGGAGGGATTATTGAAGTATTTTGGGTACATTTTGTTTTCTTGATTTATTCCTTTAGTTTTTCCAAATTTTGATGCATCTAAAATTTATGTTGTTATTACATGACTTATTTGAGTTTTTGTTATGTTGGATGAGAAATGACAGTGGTTGGGATTGTTTGGATTTGAGATACTTGTATATGCGTAGTTTAAAGTTAATTATTGTCTTCTCAAACGTAGCGGTAATTCCGATGATTCGCATAGTACACTTTCCTTAGGGCTTGTTCTAAAGAAACCATTAGCGATTCGTAAAGCTGTATGTTGGATGGCGTCGATCGGTTTTAATAATACATATATGCTTTTGCCGCGCCATACACGATGCAACCATAGTCGATTTTGGAGAGGATCGTAGACTTGCAGAGAGAAGGTAAAGTCGAGCTGTCTGCTCCCCAGTTGTGATTAGATAGAACTTTCATGATGTTAAGTCTCTGTTTGCATTCGTTTTTTAAGTTATTGAGGTCTTTCGTCCATTTCAATCTTTTATCAAATGTTATTCCTAGATATTTACAGCATTCGGAGTATTTTATTGGTAGAGAGTTTAGGTACAGAGGAGGAGGAGGCAAATTTTTCTTTTTTGTCAAAAATGGCATTGCTTTTGTTTTCATGGTGGAGAATTTAAATCCAGTCGCTTTTGTCCACTCTTCGAACTTGTCGATCGTTTCTTGAAGAAATTTTCCGGAAGCGTCACGATTTTTCCCCGGATTTGTTGATATGTAACCACGCTTAAACCAAGATTGATACCGGTGCCTTATCAATCTACTTAGCAGTAAGGTAGCTGTGATCTTGTGGAATGCGCGCACAACGGCAGAGTCAACTTCTCTCCGCAATAACGTATAACGAACTATGACATATGGGGCATGTTAAAATTAAATAATTAGTAATTATTTGGGATAATTCCTCTTTAATGAACATTTCAACGAAAATCTTTGTAACAATTTAAACATCCTTATTTGTTGGTCATTAATTGTTCATCTCTTCAAGGACGTATGATTGTGATTATTCAGCTGTACCTGTAATTATGCAATTTTATCCTTACTTCGATCCTCGATTGTCGTTGAAGAACAATACGCGATTTTTGTGTTTTATAAGCATTTTAGAATAAATTAAAAGATCCTGATTATTGATCCTTGAGCTCGATATCGCCATCGCCAGCTATAGGTACAAAAAGGAAATTCCACTCCTTAAGTCAGTCCTCCCGTGGGTGGAGGAACAAAATTCTTCATCGCAACCCTCTCGAGTCGCGCTTATCTTCATCTACAGTTGCATGTATGATAACAGCATTGTATGGGAGAAACGGACAAAAACTTCCGTTTCAAGTAACAAGGTTTTAAAACGAGCGTTTCCCCTTTAATTTTTTGCCCTTCAATCATAACACATTAGGTGGGAACTAACAGTTTTACCTATGTCTTTGACCATCCATTGTCTGGTTTTGTAAAATTCATCCGAAAATTCCCCCTAAACGGGGGTCGAAAAGCTGACCTGGACGAAATTTGGTATGTGGACAAAGAACGCAAGAAACTCAAACAAAAAAACTGATTTGTGAAAAAGGTCCCATACACAAAATTTGGCACCTCCGTTTATTGGCGCCTCATTCCGGGAATTAATAAGACAAACGTTAAATAACAAACACCTATTCGCGGACATTTGAGGATGAGAAGTAGAATAAAACATGCCTCTTAATGTTTGTATGCCTCAGAATGGGAAATCTGCTATATCAGTGATAGTTGTCTATTGGTGCAGCCTAATGTTGCATAATAACATACCCCTAAATATTTAGCAGAATCTATATCCCTTAAATGAGAAGGAAACTCTATAGTTAGAAAGTATCGCACCGAAAACAACATCGTCAATGTTTTGACACCCCAAAAAAATTACTTAAACAAATTTATCCCTCATCCGAAGCACGAGGTAGGAAATTATTATACTTCAATCTTCTACAAAAGCAGAATGCAATAATGCTGTATATAGATGGAATGGCATGCTGCTCATTTGCATTTGAAGGGTACTTAAGGAAACTCCGAATTCTCTTTGCCTACCTTGAGCGTCTAACGTAAGGGCGCGTCAATAAAATTAACCTACAACTAAGATTAATTAAATTCCGCTGCACGAAAGCGTATTATTCAAATATTGTTTCCTGCAGGACAATTTTTCAACGACGTCAAAGCGGTAGCTGCATCTTGGCTCGTATATCGAAATTGAAGGGACGGGATTTCGTTGCGGACTGTTGGTAATAAAAGCAACGGCCAGAGAATGGACTAATGAATGCAATGTATATGAGAAAATTGCATAAAAATTTAACTTTATCCACCTGGAAACAAGAAGCTTGAGACACCTCAGCTTATCAACAAAGTTCTGCGTTATGAAATTAGTTCTGTTGTGATGAGACATTACTTGAATTAAACTTCGTGTTGTGAGTTATCTGGTTCCGTTTACTTGTGTCGGCAGATTAAGCTTCGTTAACCCCAAACTAGTGAATTCGCAACGGGTAAACTCGTGCAATCGATTTAAGACCTGGGTCGGTGACTAAACGAAAGTAATTCCATTCAGGTCTAGTGTCGTTTTCAATTTTATTTTCTTCAGGTACATAACTTGTACAGTAAGAGACTTACGCTAAAACCCAAATTAATTCAAATTGGTGAAATTATGCGCTTTCTAATGCGCCAGATCATTGGTGCATTGTTAAGGCGAGTTGAATGCGCATATATGAGATCCTTTTCGTTTCTTTATTTATTTGCAAGCACATTTGTAGACGGCCACGTTCAAGATTAGTAATAATCGCTAATAAACTCGATGCCGGTTTAATTGCAAAATCTCTAAGTACGAGTATATTCTGGCAATTAACTATATGTTGTGTAATTCTGAAATTACTTTTGGATGCAAACACATTTTCTCTCATACTTTTGCTTACAGGGTTTTTAGTTTCAAGTTATAATTTCGAATCCTGGTTTACACCATCAACTCCCCTATAAAAGCTTGCATCACTTTGCTCTTCCGATTAATAATGGTGTGGTGGCACGATCTCTGGAGACCGTTTCTCTAACGCATTATCTGTAGGAACCGCTTCGCGACAGTTTCAAATTCTTGTCCAGGGGCAAGGCCCCACTCCCCTGGTGCCACCCGAGTCTACCGTCCATTTGAGTTGGAGAGTTTACCGTACGTTTCGCTGGTGTGCTGTGAACTCAAATGATTTGTAATTTATTTTTGTTTCCGCTAATTAAATTTCACTAATTCCATCGTAACATCGGGACAAAGCAACAGAGTTATCATACAACCAAAAAGGTA